ATTTAACACAGACTACAGACTAGCACAGATACTCGACGCATGTAGCTGACCAATCCTCTGACCACATACAGAATGCTGAATAGAATGATACCGTGCTACCTTCTTTCCCCCAATACAACGTACGTATGGTCATTATAGCTGGCTGTATTTAGACTGAAAGATACCCCAAATACATACAGCTATAATGATCATACGATGTATTCGGGGGAAGAAGGAAGGTGGCAGGGGGTCCTACCTAGGGTACGGCTCTCATAGGTTAGACCCTGACCTTGGCATCGGCCATTTAACACTCTGCCTGTGACAGCCTAAGCAGGGATGTTCTAGGTACAGACCCCTGGATGAGAGCCCCACTCTTGGTTGTACTTATTGAGCCCAGCGTCCATACACGAGATGCTGGCTCTTTCTACTATGCCTCAAACAGGGCCTCGGTCTTCCCCAAACATAAGGTATATGTGTTGTAAACGAATGCAACGCGTTGGTGCTCACGACCACTGTCTGGTCAGGTCACTCCGCCCAAGGACTGGTCACGAATGATGGACTGGTGGTGGGGGTGGGGGTGGGGGTGGGCCAGGGAATATTGAAAGGAACGTGGGTGGGTGGGTAGGGGTCTCGTGCCTGGCGGTATGTATAACGTCATCACGGTGATTTTTTTCTAATGTGAGCGTGTTCGAGCGCATGTTTTCCGTTGCTTTTTTTCCACCCCCTTTTTTATTTGCATATTGGCCATTGCTTGCTTGTCACTTTTTATTTGCATCCTCCCTGGCAAAGTTTGCCAGGGGGATCGCTCCTCGACTGCATGGTAATACGGAGAGACAGGGATGATAGGCCGAGCGCGCGGGGCAGGTAGGGAGGGATAGCCTGATAACCGAGTAAAGAGTGGTAGGGCGTGATGGTGGGAGGTACCCGACCCATTTCCTAGGCTATACTGTACTCAAGTTATTGGTGAATCGTTTGGTTCAGTTTTCGTTTTCGTTTTCGTTGTTTTCCTTTATTTATTCAGGTACCTCCGCCTTCTGTGGAAATTAGGAACAGCTGTCAAATTCTCAGACACAGTAGGAATTTAAAAATAAATAGGAATATGGAGATAGCCCGGACACAGCGGTTGTATATTGCAAGGCAGGAAAGATGATCGCACTTTTGGGAATTTTTGGGAATCGCGTCACCGAGAGCGCGAGGCGATAGGACGTACCTGGTCTGATCTGATCTAGGTTTCTGACAAATCCCCCCCTTTTTTTTTTAGGTTTCTGGCTAGGCTACCAGCCGGGCCGCCCGGGTCACCTTGTGTTGCACGTGCGGATGGTCCCAGCAAAAACAAAACAAAAAAAAAAAACAATCCCAAAAAATCGGAAAAAAAACTATGTTATGCAGAAAAATAAACAGAACAACTTTTGCCTCAGGGTCATATCGAAATTCTTTACCAATTTAAAATAAAAATAAAATTTGAAAAATAAAATTTTATTCTTATTTATTTTAATCCTTTTTGGCCCGGCCGGGCAAGTGGTCCCGGGCCACTCTGGTAGCCTAGATTTGCGAATGGAAATATTGTTGTTGCGTGTAAAGAGCAATCGGCCATTACTTGTCTTTATTCTTCTGACAAATCAGCATTCGCACGTATATATAGGAATTTCCTAGGATTATTCCGTCGGAAACTCGGCAAATAGGTTGCGACCGCCCTCGCCCTCGGCCGGGTACGGTTAGGACTTCGGTGGAAATTAGAAGCGAGAGTCAGGACTGCAGGGCGGCGGGCAGTTTTTTCCCGTTTCCGAGGGCTTAGATTCAATAGGAATTTTGAAAAAATATTACGACTCGAGACAAAGCAAAAAAAAAACGGTTGTATATTACAGGGAGGGAAATTCGAATTTCTTCGCAGGCAGTACATACGCACGCGCACACGAGATGCCATAGGGAAGAAGGTCGGAGTAGAGGCAGGGGGGGAGAGAGACCCAAAATAGGGGCCCGTGCGGGACGCAGGAGAAATGACAAGTGAGGAGGGTTTAGTCGGACGTGGAAGCGTTAAGTGAAACGTAACGGATTGTATGCTACGAATTCAAAATACTCCCAGGTACTACACGGGTCTGGAGACGGACGATAGCGACCTGGGTCGGAGAGCAGTCCAGCACGGCACAGAGGCACACAAGAAGGATTGGACGACTATGTGAGACCAGACGGATCCTACGTAGGAAGGATGAGCCAATCAGAGCCTAGCATTGAAGCAGGTAGTGACCGTGCAAGGGAAGGCTCGCGCTATATGATGAGGGCAAGGCCGCATCGGCCCTCACTAGCTCTGGGCGGTAGAGAACGGTGGGCCGAGAGGCAAAGGGCGTGTGGCAAGCCTCCTGATGAGACTGGGGCGCACCCGGTTGAAACATGTAGGGGAAAGCGTGCGCGATATGAGCAGTGTACAGTGTACACGCATGTTTGAACGAAGCTATTCTGTCTGGGTGTGAAGAGCAATTTGGCCATTGCTTACCTTCTTCTTCTTTATCTTTTATATTCCATCTTCCTTAGGATTAATTATTGTAATTGTTTTTTCTTTTCTTATGCCGAATATTCTTATTCTTGCTTTTATTGTTAGGCTCTGGGGACTTCTTCCACTACTCTGTGGACTCAATTGTGGTCCGATTCATTCATCGATGTCCAGAAGTGGGGGGAAAAAATCACGCATGGCGGACCGTCATGGTGGCGACATGCATCCAAAAAAAGAGATCGCAGTGTGAGGATCCTCTTATTCTTTTTTCTTTCGTTCGTTCTTTTCTTGTTTCAATCGTCAGGAGTTGGAGAGGTCAAGGTGGTGCCCCGACAGTCAGAGCTTGGGGGGATTGGCCGGCCTCCTGATGGGAGACCAGGGGAATCATCGCACCAGGTCGAAAAACGCGTTCGGGAACGTGGTCCTTTTCCTGAGGATTGGACATTCGGGAAATTACATTCCATCACTGTACGGAAAAGCAGCTTAGGGGGGAGCGGGGAGGGGGGCGGAAACAGCTACAGTCACTGCGCTCTTCCTCATCATCTTCTTCTTCTTCTTCTTCTTCTTCTTCTTCTTCTTCTTCTCCTACTTCTTCCTCTTCTTCTTCTTCTTCTTGCCGGAAAGTCTGGTGGTGCTGCAAGGCGGAGCTATGGAGAGAGCCCCTGAGGAGTGCCAGGAGCGCAGCCTGTCGGAAACGCGTCGTGGAAATTGCGCGTTTTATTCTGAGAACTGAACATGCGGAGAAGAAATGCAAATCTGTCGATGCTTGTACGAGAAGAGGCAGTCTATGGCCACTGTTTTCACTTTTCACTATTCTTCTTCTTCTTCTTCTTCTTTGCTCAGGGTGGATTGCTTCAGTGGGTGCGGGAGTGTGGTTGCCCTTGATAAGTCCTGGTGCGCAGCCAGGCGAAACGCGTTGGGGAATGTGCTCGTTGAGTAGATAGGCCGTGTAGGTGCTTCAATGACATCATCGAGACATGGACGCGTAGCGATTGGCCTCGCTATTTCAATTCAATTTTCACTTCACTTCACTTCTTCTTCTTCTTCTTCTTCTTCTTCTTCTTCTTCTTCTTCTTTCTTCTTTCTTCTTCTGCATACGTAACTGAACGACGCAGCAGACAATGACGACGCGTGTGGGACTGCGCCTGTAGCTAGTTGAATGGTATAAACGAGAGGGCAAGGCCGTCGGTCCTCTATTCTCAGATACTTGGCCGGACGGATTGTGTCAGGTGGTGCCGCAAGATGATTTTGGGAGAAGCCCCCTGAGGAGTGCCAGGAGCGCAGCCTGGCCGAAACGCGCAAGGGTGAAATTCCGTGTTTCAGCTGCGGAAGTCGAATGAATTTTATCATCGCGTATACGAGAAGCAGACAATGGCCTCTGTTCTCACTATGCAGCTGCTTTTTTTCTCACTATGCAGCTTCTTTTTCTCTCACTATGCAGCTTCTTTTTCTTTCTTCTTTCTTCTTTCTTCGTTCTTTCTTCTTCTCTTTTATGTTCCCATCCCCGCCCCCGACGTTCCCCCCCTCGCTCTGCAAATTCGTTGCATATGTGCATAGCTTACGAAAGATAGATGACCGGATACGAAGAATCTACGAAACGGAGCGGCGCCCAATAGGTGGAGGACACGCTGCCTCGTTTTCAGCGGAAGATAACAAAAATCAATGGCCATATTAAATTTATCAAAAAAAAGCAAATGGTATGAAAGTTTGATACGGATGGATAATTGGTCCAGGTGCAGAGAGAGAGAGAGAGAAAGAGGCGGCGCGGGGGGGGGAAGCTGGAAGATGACTGGCTGGGCCGTAGATTACGAAGATCAATGTCCGACCAGGTACGAACAATCTGGCCAGAAGAGAGAGAGAGAGGGGAGAGAGAGAGAGTGAGAGAGAGAGAGAGGCAATGTCCGACCAGATACGAAGAATCTGGCCAGAAGAGAAGAGAGAGAGGGGAGAGAGAGAGGGGAGAGAGAGAGGGGAGAGAGAGAGTGAGAGGGGACACAGAGAGAGAGAGAGAGACAGACAGACAGACAGACAGACAGACAGACAGACAGACAGACAGACAGACAGAGTGTGCAGGGGTAGGTGGTAGGTTGTGGAATGCTTAACAGTATTACTCGTCCTCCACAAAATACGACGCACCCTCATCGTGCGTATATCGCGCCAGGGAAGTAGGGGAAGGCAAGGGAAGAACTCGTTTAAAAAAAAAAAGAAGACAAATAAACAAACAAAGAGAAAAGGGAAACAAGGACAAAAACAGGGTTTATCGGTTACGAGAATAGAAAGAGCAACCACCAAAACGGAAAGCGAGAACGGAGAAAGGAGTTGTAAAGCCGTTCGGGACATCCGTTAACATTGGAACGATACAGAGAGAGAAGATTAGCATGGCCCCTACGAATGGATGACACGCATAAATCGAGAAAAAAATGGTCAAAAAAAAAAAAGAGGATTTGGAAACAGACATAAATAAATAAAGGCCGGAGAAAGGAAGGAGGAAGCGGGGCTGAAGGGATGAGTTAATTGAAGTGTCCCGACTTACCCTCGCGGAGCTCTCTTCCGCAGCCCCAGCTATGGCGCCAAGGGTCCCTGGCTATGTCGTCGTAGCCAGGCCTTCGCAGAGGTGAGGCTGAGAGAGTTCAACTGGGCGGAATATTATCGGCCGATAAGTTGCGTTGGACCGATAACGTCTGATCTGGATAATCCAGTTCGCGACGTCACGGGCTCGAGGCCTGTAAGAGAACCAGGTAATCTGGACTGTGTGCAATAATTGTTGTGCGCTTACACCCTTTCTTTTTCGGGAGAACGGTTTGCGTTTTTTTTTTGTTTTTGTTTTTGTTTTTTTTTTGTCAAGGAAAGAAAAAGAGGCCGAAGATATTTAGAATCTATAGATAGAGTCCTTCGGGGCATCGTGTATGGACGCTGCGCAAGGATGACACGCATAAATCGAGAAATGGTCCAAATTAAAAAAAAAAAAAAAAAAAAAAAATCTATAGATAGAAAATCCAGCAACCGACTAGCTCTGTAGGCCCAGTTAGAGGGACATGTTCTGAGACTGACGGCATACTCACACGGCGACCCCAAATCCGCAATTTGGGAAGGGCCGATTTGAGGTTTTGGGCATGGTTCACGTCATACTGCTGTGCCTTTTCAGATGGGACAAAATCACTTTCTTTTTTTTTTACTTGGCTGGTCACACGGCGCCATCCACTAATTGTGCAAGAACTTCTTCTTTTTTTCTTTTTTTTTTTAATTTGGACCATTTGGTCCATTTCTCGATTTATGTGTGTCATCCTTGCGCAGGGGCCATGCTAATCTTCTCTGTATCGTTCCAATTTTAACAGATGTCCCGGGGCACGGTCCCACTAGCACCGGGATTAGCCTTGCTATATCCCTGCGACATGTGTTTTCCGAATTAAATCAGGACAAAGTAGTAGTCCGATCCGGTAGGGCCGTCCATTCCATGCAGATCTGACGGTGCTGCAGTTTTCATCAATTGTTTGGTTGGTATCCGGTTTTTCATGTTTTGGAATGAAAATGGATCCCCCTCTCATTGGCCATGCATAAAAAAAAAGAAAAGAAAACGCATTGGAGGGGGGTCTTCCCTCTAGAGCTATTTTCTTTCGGGTAGAGGGCAGTCACGAGTTCCATTCAGTAAACGTGGCGTATATATAATAAATTCCAAAAATATTATGAGTGGGCAGTTGGCCAGTCAGAATGGAAGCGTCGTCCACCCCATGAGTCCATTATCAGAGACCTGTAGAGAGGCTGGTAATGTATCGGGCGCATAAAACCGGCCCATACATTTCCAATGAAATTTCCCTGGCAGGCTCAGCCGCAGGAACACTAGCAACTGAACAGGGAGAATTATGCAAGGCGGGAACCACGAGCAAGATTTTTGCTCACACATTTGGAATGTATTGGACCTAGGACATATCCAGATACACTTAGAATGCTGTATAGTCTTCCTCCCTCTCTCTCCCATGTGTTTGTTGTCATTGGCGCTGTCTATGTTAGCGCGGCTAATCCGTTTTTACTTTCTCTATTTCTAATTATTTCTTGAAGTGTATTTAATACAAAAAACACATGTCCCCCGGATATAGCTAAGGCTAATCCGGGTGCTAGTGGGACCGTGCCCCCGAAGGACATTGTGCAAGAACTTTTGTGAACGAATTTTTGCCAATTTTGGAAGAAAAATGCAACAAATGAAAAAGGGCATTTGCGGTCACTTCTAGAGGTGACCGCAAAATCCCTTGCCCCGCAGCTTCCCAGGCCGCAGACAAATGGGCAATGGAATAGTGCATTTGCGAATTGGGTAGATCCGTGTGACCGACCTTTTAGCCTTTTTTGGGGGATTTTGGGATTATAGGTCCCCGTGTGAGTATGCCCTGAGAAAGTCGGTAGCAAAGACTTTCTGGAGGCCTTATGCCTGTAAGCTAAGATGGCTGATGCTGTCAGTACACCGGGTTGATTTTTTTTTAATTTTTAATTTTTTTTTTTCCCAAAACACGACCGGCGGCTGTTTGAATTGTGAGGTCCGGGCCTCGAATTGAAAGAAAGACAAGGCTATTTAAAAATAAAAAAAAAGGCCCGGGGCCATATCCCGCTAGCGGGGGTTTAGTTATGGGCGAGGTCCCACTTGGTAGCACACTGAATCGAATTTTGAAGCTAAATCTGGATGGGTTCTAAGAGCATATGCAGAAAAGCAGATCTATCTTGATCTTGTGCATTTCTCCACAAAGAAGTCCAGTTCCAAGCATTATCTGCTACTGGGATCTCGCTCCTGGTTTCTAGACCTGTGTCGCAGCAGCAGGCCATAATCATGACAAAGAACTGCCAAACAGGATCTGCCCTGCACTTTTGGCTGCACTATCACCTGACTTTTCACTGTACTGCTGGTTGTAGAAGTCTAGCATGTACCCTTCAGCTGCTGCCCACACTCCCGGTTGGGCAACACAAAGGGCGGCCACATCATTTCACAATGCAAAAGGCATCAATTCATTGCAAAGGACGGCCGCATCATTTCACAACGCAAACGGAATCATTTTCATTTCAAAGGCCGGCTGCATCAATTCACAACGCAAAGGCCGGCGACATCATTTCACTTTTCACAGTGCGACCTCTGCATGTCCAAGGGGTTATACTTTCTCGCACACCCACACCATGCAAGAAATGAAAACCAACCAAAGGCGTCAGGTAGATAATCCGAAGTGTCCACCAATCGAGCAATGTCGTTTTTTTCAGTCCACACTTCCTATTACCTAAGCAACCCGACTAATTTTCGTAACCTTGTGAACCACCAGTATTTGGCCCATGCATCGGTTGCAGGCCCCTCATCGTGATTTTTAGAGGCCCGAGACGTGACGCCCGCCATTTATGAAAATGATCGACGGTGCGTCGGCCCCTAAAGTTGCGCCCATAAATCAGCCGCATTTTTTTTTTCAAGCAGGGTCAAGTACTGGTGGTTAAGGCACCACAATGTAATTTTTGGTGCACTTTTTCTCATGGCTAATCCTGCCCAGATTCTATTGAGGGAATCCTAGTGTGGTTATGCCTTTGGTATGGGGTATATGAAAATCGACTTATGTCAATTTTTTAGCTCATTCGGTCGAACCTCATGGAAGTATTTGGACTAATATGAAGTCCAACTACATTTAGGGGGTTCGACATTTTTACAATGTCAGACTCTCGGCTAAACATTTGATATTCTGCGGGCCAGATAAGTCGGTGTCAATTTTATTCAAAAAATATAAAATATCCATTTTAACTAAATAATCGTTATCCAGCGTTATAGCAATTAACCTTAGTCTTTGGTAAATATCTAGTAGGTTTTTTTAATAGCATCAACTGCCCTATTGTACCACTTTTGGTAAAAGGTCACTCTTAACTTCAAACTCTCAAACTAATAGAAATGTGGCATTTACTTGCAAATCATCAAACGATGGACAACATCTCGTAGGAACCATTATACATGGTTCCGTATACAAAATTAGTCCAATCCTCTGTGGGAAAATATTCACTTTTATATATTTTTAAATCAAGTAAAATTGTGATTTTCTCTGTTTAATATTTTGAAAGTGTTCATTCGCCTATGATTTTTTATTTTATTTTTTTAACAATTGAGATTCATTTATAAGAATTGTTACTTGTGGTATGTCAAATCCTGGATTTAACATCATACAATATACTACTAGCATCAAATATATATCCCCGCATATAATCAATTCAGGAATATATGTAGTAAAGTTAAGCCTTTCATTGTAAATTATAAACACAAAGAAAGATATTATTATTCAATATTGCTCCTTCCTTACTAGCCTCATCTTTCTTTAGCATCATTCCCCCATGGGTCAATTTTCGAATCAACAATTTTAACTACAAAGTTTGTACTCACCATTATTATCGTACCTCATTCAGTGTCTTGTATCAATGTCCAAAGTTGTTGCCTTAATCACTAAGTATGCATACTACTGATTTTGTTGCGCTCAATTTAGCTTTCAGTGAACATTGGATTTGCATTTTATTCTCAAGTTTGAAGTTTTTTAAATGATTGCGCTTATTACGATTGATGTACCACTCAGTTCACGAGTCCTTCAAATTCAGTAGTCTACTCTCACAAGAGTTATTGCAGACTTTCTACACGAAAATGTGTCTTTTTAATGACTCTTCGAATTATATTCGTCTTAGTCCGACAACTCAATCATTAAAATCGCATTTTTTTGTAAACCTTTACATACTTTCCGCCATTATCGTCGTAGTCACATCTTCACGAATCGTAACATGTGACAAAGTGTCACTATTTAGGTTGTTCAATCGCTGGACGATGGTGAACGATGCGTTTATTCTTTATAATCCTCATGACAAATTGATCTTTTATCTATAGAGACGAATAAAAAATAATTTTGTGTTCCACAACGGTGGTCACTGAATGCTTTATCAATATTGTTTATGAGATAAAAAAAATATTAAATTTTGTTCAATGACTCTAAACCCACATTTTCGTCATTGCGAGAGTTGAGGATTTCATAGGATTGTCAATGATTTCAGTGAAGGTAAGATTGAATTGTCCATTTCATTTCGAAAGGTAAAAAACATTACGTCTTAAGACAAGGTTACACATATGGTAGGTACAACGTCTTTTATTTGATCAATCATGTAGGATGAATCTGGATGGTTGAGTATGAGCAACTCACTATTTGATCCCCTAATGAATTTGTCTATGTGTCTAATGTTCTTGATTTTAAGTACTTCTTGACAATTTTTTTTCTTGTTCAGATTCCTTGACCTCCCTGTCATGGTGGTCCCATCATTTTTGCACATCCTTATTTTGATCCCATCAGGTAATGATTCAACACTTCCATCTTAGGAGGGAAGGAGTTTGGTCCATTTTCAATCACCCCTCATTTTTTTTATACTCCTGATATGCCTTTTGATTCAGCCCCTAGCTTACTCTAAAGAGGATATTGGTCTAAATGGGCCTACCAGTTTGCCCTCTAGTGTCCTTAGTGAGTTCACTAAACCATAACCTAAAACTCCTTATAACTTTGTTAAGTCAGATAGATTCAAAGGTTTTGTCAGTCCACCAGGTCAACTAATACGATTATTCTACAGAATCTTTGTTGAGGATTGCGATGTCAAATGGAAAAATGCTTGCAATTTTTACACTTGACATGATAACACGAAT